TCCTCTGTGTGATTAATTTGGTTTGGGTATGTGATGTTGAAAGTAATTATTCCTTTGAATTGTAAGCTTTGGAGTGTTGAAAGATTCTAGTTGAGGACATATGCACAGGAATTACATCTTAATTTAAAAATTATTAGTTGATTAATTTATTTATATTATAACAATATTATAAATTGATTATGAGTTATATTTTTTAAATATTAATAACATTTCATTTTTAGTTTTTACAATAAAATTTTTACCGACTTCTTTTCGTTTTCTAGATTCTAAATTAGAATCTAATTTAATTTAGGAATGATTCTTACTCTAATGAAATGATATGAAGTAAATGATCATCATCGTGATTCGTGGGTGCTGGGAGAATGAATGAAAAAATCTTTATTTCAGAAAATGAGGATCGCTAACGAACTTATTATAAATCTTCGATTTTTCTGATGCATCAAAAAATGGCAATATCCATTTAACGATTAAACATTAAATACGGTGGTTATATAAACCTCATAAATTAACCTAAAACTTCACGGAATGTTGAAAACGAAATAAATTTTAACAAACGAGCTGAATGTAGATCGGCAAAGAGTCATTAACATAACTTCGGGAAGGCCAAGATTTTTTCTAATTTTATCTCAGATTTTTCTAAAAATAAACCAAAATGCTCATGAATAATTAATTTTTAGAAACTTGCCCGTTGAAAAAAATTTTCAATGTTAAAACGCTGGTAGGGCGCTTCCAGTTATATAATTCCATGCAAGGAGTTAGAGTTTAAATAAGAATTAAAATACTACTATTTTAAATACTCTGGACTGTAAGCAAAAATTAAGCAAGTCAACAGTCAATTGAGTAGATTTCTAGCTTGTGACATTCATTCGTTGCAAAATGTTGTCCTTGGTTTTTATTCTTTTCAGAGTAATTGAACATTGGAAGTTTTTGTTTTATGGCATAGATAACAAAACGATGTTCTGCGCCTTCGTTTCTGTTATTTCGCCCTCCGTTTAACCGATATAGTACCTTGTCCTAAATTTTTTGTTGATTAAATCGCTCATAATTATATTTTTTATTTACTTCATTGAATTTTCAATATCATCAAAGTAACCAAACAATCTTTCACTGGTTTTATTTTTGCTCCAACCATACAATAATTACGCGGGTAATTATATTTGAAAATAAAAATTAATTTCATTTTTGAAAAAATTAAAAAATTTGAATTTTATTTTTCAATTTTTTAATATTACTAAAACAATTTATTGAAGCTCTTTATTGCTATTTTTCTAAAAAATATTTAGATCTCTTGTCGAAAGTAGTAGTTACAGACATGGATATCACTGAGAACAACCTCCAGCAATTAGGTGCCTACCTGCAAAAGACATTGTCCATAGATCCAGCTGAGAGGAGGGCAGGTCTGAATTCATTGGTACATGCTTTTAATCCGACCACAAAAAAATATTTCCAAAAATATACCCTAACCCACCAGGATAATTATTTCATTTTATTTTTATAAAATGTGATTTTAGAAAATGTGACTTCATTAATGACTTTATTAACAATATAAAATGTGACTTTATTAATAACTTTTTCAAATTGTAATTTTTTAAATGGTAAAAAATTTTGGTGGTCGGATAAAAAACAAGTGCCAATTCATTTTCTTTAAAATATCAGGCTTATTATTTAATAAGAAAAGATTATATGACATAGGTGGCCTTACCTATAAGATTGTTATAACTGCACTATCCCACAGCGTTTGCTGAATAAAATAATTTTAACTGAATTGAATTCATGTATTTTATTGGGGTGCAAAATGGATTATTGAAATACAAATATCGCAAGCAAGTTACAAAACTTCTGTCAAACATTTTCTTGGAACAGCATCACCAGAAAATTTTTTTGCATTGTTTCTTTATTAGATTGAGAACAAAAAATGTTTATAAATGTTTTAAAATAATATATTTAAAATATTTATTTATTTTTATAGCTTACATTTTTTTGAAAACTTTAACATTTAAATTGGCTATTGTGTTAATTATTTCTATCATGTAATTGAAATATTAATGTTATTAACTATCATCATGTTTTATTTTTAAATTAGCTACAAACACATTGAATGAAATATGCCTTTTTGTGATGCTTACATAGATATACATATTACATAGATCTTATTTGCACTTTGAACTTCATGTTATTATTGATTGTATTTAATTTCAGCTGAGAAGTTTTTAGAATCAATAGAGAGCAATCAAAACTACCCGATACTCCTTCTGAGTCTGGTGGACAAGACTGAACTTCCCATCCACATGCGAATTAGTGGTAGTGTCATCTTCAAGAATTACATCAAAAGAAATTGGTCCATTGTAAGTTAATTTGAAATTTAAAATTATTCACATTTTTATTCACATCAAACAGAAAATAATTGATGTTGTATATCTGTAATCTATGTAATTATAGTTTTTGAATGTTAATTGGCAGCGAGATGATGGTTCAGATCGTATCCATGCTAATGATCGCCTGGTTGTCAAACAAAATATCATCAGACTCATGCTGAAAGCTCCAGAACAAATACAAAAACAGGTTTCATATTTAGCCAGCAAGTTCTTGTTTATCTAAGGATTTTAAAATATATCATTTTAGATGTTTTAGAATTTTAATAATCTAATAATTTATTTAATTTTTTAATCATATAGTTAAGTGATGCAATAAGTCGCATTGGCAAGGAGGACTTTCCAGACAAATGGCCTAATTTGATGGATGAGATGATTGAAAAGTTCAGCACTTCCTCAGATTTCCACGTCATCAATGGAGTCCTCTACACTGCACACTCCATCTTCAAAAGGCCAGACATGATTTCTCTTCATGATTTCAGATGATTTGATGAAATAATTTTTATTGTAAATTTCAAATTTTGGTTATTTGTATCTTGTGCTTAGTTGTTTAATTTGTTTATTATTTTATTTGCAACTAACGTCATTCATTTTCTGCAACAGATATCGACATGAATTTCAATCAAACAAATTATGGGCAGAAATAAAATTTGTGCTGGATAAGTTTGCCCTGCCTTTCACTCAGCTCACCAATGTATGTAAAAGTTCTTTCGTTCATATTTTATTTATATTTCATTATTTCTGATATTCAACTATTTGAATTAGTTAATTTTGTTTTAGCATTATGATGTTGTTGATTTGGTGCTAAAAATTATTTTGCTTTGGTACCCTTTGAAATATAGAAAATGATGGAGTTGGCTCAGATGCATGCAAGCAGTCCTGACAATCTGCGCCTCATATACAGTTCCATCATTCTCATCTGCAAGATTTTCTATTCCCTCAATTTCCAGGTTTGTTGTGTTAAGTTGAGTGACCACCTGGCCACATTTCTATTTAAAATTTTTGTTACCAACCCTTCATGTTATTACGTGATGACGACATTCATCTGCTCGTAGGATCTGCCGGAATTTTTTGAGGACAACATGCAAACGTGGATGAATCACTTTCATGTTCTTCTCAATGCTGACTGCAAACTTCTCGAAACCGATGTAAGATGTTTTCTTTGAATTTGTAAACTTTTTGAAATCAATATAAGATGTTTTATATTTAAAACTAATTGTTCTCTCAGTTTCACAAATAATTTTTCACTCATTCATCCATTGTAAATGGCTCTCATTACCCATTCATCCATTGTTAAGTGCATCTCATCGATAATTAATTAATAAACAAAACGGCATATAATTCATTCATGAATGGATGAACATTTTTCAAGTAAACGATCTAAAAACATCAAACTGTTTTTTAATATTTTCCAATACAAGATGCATTTCTAACCATAACAACCAACACTCATGGCTCAGGACAAGGACGAACCTGGAGTGATGGAGCAAGTGAAGACGCAGGTATGTGACAACTTGGCCATGTATGCTCAAAAATACGATGAGGAATTTGGCACCTACTTGCCATTGTTTGTTACTGATGTGTGGCACCTGCTCATCAACACAGGAGTCAGTGTAAAATATGATTTGGTTAGTTGCCACTGTTCATGTTGGCACATGGTTGGTTGGTTGGTTGGGGTTGGCTGTCTGGCTGGCTGGCTGGTTGGTTGGTTGGCTGGCTGGCTGGTTGGTTGGATGGGTGTTCAGTTGGTTGGTTGGCTGGCTGGTTGGTTACAATTTTTTTTCATGGGATTGTTTATTTTTTGCATATTTCTTTGACGTTGTTTTTCAATTTGTTTTTTCTATTTTTATTTGGTTCTTCATTATGATAAATTTTATAGTATTTTCATTCATTTCTGTATTCACCATTAATTCGCCATCATTAGTTGAGTTCATCTTTTACATGACCTTTGCTTCATTTCTTAGAGAAGCCAGAAAATGTTATAATATTGATATAACTATAATGCTACTGGATTAATATATAATGTGGTCTACATGCTATTTACTGATTGTTTAAAGTTCGTTCTTTTTTATTTTAATAGTGCCAATTACTTTCATTTACTTGCTTGTATAATCATTAATTTATTCATTCATTCATCTAATTGATTTTCATTTAATCAATCAATTATTCATTTATTTAAATATAATCGTATAATTAATTGATTGATTAGTTGATTGATTACTTGATTGATTGATTGACAATTACTTATTTGATAGTTTTTAATTGGTTGAACATTTAATTAAAACAGTTGGTGAGCAATGCCATCCAGTTCCTGGCGTCAGTTGCAGACAGGCCTGGATATAAGAGCCTCTTTGAGGATCCCAACACATTGGCAAGCATCTGTGAGAAGATCATTGTTCCGAACATGGTGTTCAGAGGTTTTAGCAGTTGATCCTTCGAATTGTTGTTGTTGTTGGGGATTAATACAAATTGCTTATTGTTGTTGCTGTTGTTAGAAATTGATACAAATTATTGTTGTTGATGTTGTTGGAAATTAATAAAAAATTGTTTGTTGTTGTTGCACAGAGGCGGACGAAGAAGCCTTCGAGGACAATGCAGAAGAGTACATCAGGAGGGACATCGAAGGGTCAGGTAGGTCACTTATTATTCCTCATTTTTATATATTTTTCTATCTTTTCATTTGATTTTATACTATTAACCAATTTGTACTTATCAAATATTTCTTTAATTTCTTTAGTTTCAACTTTATGTTCAATTTACTCATTGTTATCAACAGTTTTCATATTTTGCATGTTCATGTTAATTTTCAATAGTCTGATTTAGAGTTTATGTTAGGTTCAATTTTTGTCTTTTTCATCAGTATAGAATCAGTTACTATCAGTTTTATTATCAAGTAAAATTATTCTCTCCCACCAGCTTATGTTATTTTATCTGCAGGCATGTATACATTCAACATTTAAATAAGTGTATTTTTTAATAATTTTTTTTATGTTTTGTTGTAATTTTTGTTAATTTTTATTTACAAAGTTTTCTTGTAACGTATCATTAGTGCAATTCTTACTTCCTTTGAACTATATAAAATCTTATTCAATTGAACTCGTGTTTTTTTATTTGTAAAACGTGGCTACATCATCAGACGTGGACACGCGCAGGAGAGCAGCATGTGATCTGGTGAGAGCCCTTTCCAAGTCCTTTGAGGATACCGTCATCAAGAACTTTTCCATCTACATACAGAACATGTTGCAGGTTGGTCATCTCGATTCAACTGCCGTCGTGTTTCTTTTTTCTTTAACATGTGTTTCACTTGTTGTTCATAACTCTTTTCTACGTGATTGAATCATTTAATTTTTTAATTTTTGTTTTTATATTTCATTTAGCTGGCCTGTGATTCATAACATTTGTTTAGTTTTTTTTTCTACTTATGTTTACAACCAGTAGAGTTACCATCCTTGCCGATAACATCCAATCAAGTTATCTATCTATCATTATTATTTGGTCTAGATCCTAACTGGTTGAGTCTGGTGTATCCAATTTTTTTAATAATTTAAATTAACACACTGCCAAAAACAATTACACGGGCATGCACAGGCCTACAGAGAGAACCCGCAAAAGAATTGGAAGAGCAAAGATGCAGCCATCTTCCTAGTTACATCTCTTGCTGCCAAAGCCCAAACTCAAAAGGTGATAAAATATTTTTTTAGTATATTGTGTGTGTTTTACAGGAATTAGGTGCGTCTGTGTCTTTGCCAGTTTATGTGTTTCTATATCTGCGTATGTGTCTATGTCTAAATAGTGGATGTTTTTGCTGGTAGGTGTCTGTCATGTTGTAAATTTTGATTTAAATTTTTCAATTGGACTAGATTATGATTAGACTGAAATGCAATAATAAGTTAGTTATCAATCCACTTATGATCCTGCTCAGCATGGCATCACGCAAACTAGTTCACTGGTCAATGTCACTGAGTTCTTCACCAACCACATCGCTCCCGATCTCAACTCCAATGGTGATTTTTTTTTCTGTTCTTTGATATGATTTTATTTTGTTTAAGTGTGTCTTATAGTGACATTCAGATTAGTAGTATAATTTTTATCTCTATTTGACGTGATGAAGTCCATAACTCTAAATGATCAAGTTGCCTCATGTTAGGGCAGTGTTTCCCAGCCTTTTTCAGTGTTGGCCTCCCTAAAAAAGTCCTAATGGTAACTTGGCCTCCCCAAATCCCGTCGTCAATAATTGAAAAAAAAAAAAATTTGTTATAACAATTTTTATTCAGACAAATTTAATTAAAATTAGCATTGTTCATAATAATAAGGTTTATGTAAGGTTTTTTAATTTATTACATAAAATGTTATTGAAGCTTAATGAGATGATTGTTGCTGTTTTCCATCACAGAGAAGATGAAATCGAGGTTCTGTATTAGAAAGAGATACCCTCATATCATTCGAGGCATCCAATCTATTTCTATCTTTAGTCTTGATAGATACTAATGTAGAAAACCCTTTTTCACATAAGTAGGTGGTCGAAAATGGAATCAGAGCTGCCATGGCTTTTTTAAATAAATTTGGGTATATTTCTTTCAGACTGCACCAAAACTCTGCCAATCCTTTGGAATTGAATTCAGCTTTTACCAACTCTTTTGATCGAAGATCAATTAAATCTTCCTTTATTTCTTCTTCATCAGCAACACTATCCAAGTCAATAATGAACGGATTTCGTATCCAAAGATTATTTTCCAAATTTTTAGTATCAAAATAACGCTCAAATGATAGTTGGAGAGTTGTGATATGTTGTATAATTTCTTTTTTTATTTCAACAGGCATTGATTTGTTTCCACTGCTACTTATAACATCAGCTAGGTATGGAAAAAGTTTTCAGCTTCTACTCTTCTTTTGTACAATGAAAGCTTATTTAAAAATCCTACTAATTTTTCATTGGCGTCGATTATTGTCATTTCTGGTCCTTGCAAACAAAGATTAAATTCATTTAAGAGTGTGAACAGATCAGCTAAATATGCCATATTAACTATGAAATCAGTCTTCTCAAAGTCACCTCCTAACGTTTTTTCTTTTTCTTGCAAAAATGAAGACACCACATTTTTCAGGTCCATTAGTCTTGAAAATACCTTTCCTTTGCTTAACCACCTGACTTCCGTGTAATATAGCAAGACATCGTATTCAGAACCAAGTTCTTGGCATAAAACTTGGAATAAACGATGGTTTACTGCTCTTGATCGTATAAAATTGAATATTTTGATCGCTGTAGACATGACAGACTGAAGCTTTGCTGGTACTGTCTTCACAGCTAGAGCATGGCGATGGAGCATGCAATGAGTTACAAGTTTCTGTGGAGAATTAACTTTGATTAAGGCAGCCAATCCAGATTTGTTACCCAACATACTTGGTGCTCCATCAGTACAGACTGAATGTAATTTTGTCAACCAACTAAATTCATTTCTTTCAAAGAAAGTTGCAATCATTTGAAAAACATCTGCAGCTTTACTAGTTGTCTGAAGTGGTTGGCAAAATAAAAATTCTTCTTTAATTTTAAAATTACATACATAACGAACATACACTAAAAGCTGGCAACACATTGATACATCTGTGGTTTCATCAAGTTGCATGCCAAAATTAAAAGGACTACTTTTCAGTTCTGACATAACTTGGTCCAAGATATCATTTGAAAGATCTGCTATTCTGGAACAAATAACATTATTAGAAAGTGGAATTTCTTCAACCTGTTTTCTTTCTTTTTTTCCAAGAATTAACTCCACCATTTCATGTGCACAGGGTTTTATTAAGGTTTCTCCAATTGTATGTGGTTTTCTTTTTTTGGCAATCAAATAGGCAACTTTGTAAGAAGCCTCAAGAAGTGGTTTCTTTGGTTGAGCAAATCCAACATTTTTTAATGTTCCAGTGGCTTGAAATCTAGCTTGCTTCAGTTTGAAGGTATCCAGGTTGTCGTTGACATTTCCAGGATGTTTGGTTTCTAAGTGGTCTTTGCTGGTCTTATTCTATCACTACAATATACTGCTCCGCATAAGAAACTTTGTGGCTTTTCAATGCCATCTTTTTCAGTAATAGTCGTGAATCCAAAGCAACGTAGGTTTCGTCATAGCAACGTTTTTTTGACATTATTGAAAACTGAAAATGATAAAAAAACACATATTTTAAAAAGAACTGAAATAATTAAAAAATCACAAATATAAATTGCCAGTTATGTTAGAAACAGCAGACCAAATTTTTTAGTTAAATTATTCAATTAATTGTCTTATTTTATTAATTTTATTGAAAAAGAAACTCATGCAGGGTATCACAAAAAACTTGACAGAAAGAAAATGAGGGATTTATGAAAACAGAAATGTGCAAATCATTATTTAAACAAATACAATATGGAAAGCCGTTACGCAAAAACAATTTTCATATAGTATTCAAAAAATCGTTTTTAGCATGATTAAAATTTTGTGATTTAACAAAACTTTATAAAATTATATAAATTTATAAAATACATGTAAATAGAACACCTTAGTTGGCCTCCCCTAAAAGATCATTTGGCCTCCCTTGGGGAGGCCGGCCCCACCGGTTGGGAAACCCTGTGTTAGTGCAAAACAATTCTCACAGCTAACTGGCTTCTACATTTTTATCAATCAAACTATGCTACTTATTTCTCATTCATATCAGTATTCGTGGAATATTTACATCAGAGATGTGTAACACTAAAGGAATTTGATTGATAACTAAATTTTTTAGATGTTATATAGTTAATTAATTTTTTTATTTATTTATTTGTTAATTTATAAGTAAAACAGTTGTTAAATTTTAAAAATGACTTAAATTGTTAATATATAACGAATACTAAATCTTCTGTTTGCGCTGGCTTACTCAACATAATTCCACGAATTTCTCTCTACCTCAAAACCATGATTAATTTAATAAAATTACTGCAGTGATGATATGGCGGTAGAAAATTCACCAATAAATGAATAATGCTTTTAGAAATTTTTATTTATTTGTAAACCAGCAAACGAGAACCCTGTAATCAAAGCAGATGCCATCAAGTATATCATGGTTTTTCGAAATCAGGTGGGAAGTTTGTTTGAGTTTTTTTCTACTGATTTGTTCTTTTATATTCAATAACTTTTTGGATTAGTTTGATTGAGCATGTAAAATAGGTTTGATCGTGGGAGAAATAGATTTCAATCAGCTGTGGTGATGATAAATTTCAGTTCTGTTTTACAACTAAAAGTTTTATAGAATGGTTGTAGGACACATGACAGACAGTTCGAGATTTTGTGACGTATCAAAGTGAAAATTTTTTTTGTTTATTTACATCTCAAATGATTCAAAAACTTCTTATGTAGATAATAATATGTCACAAAGCCAAAATAACACGAGGAAAGAGTTAATGAATTTGATAAGTTGACAGATGGGAAAGTTGATAAACAACTATTATTTCATACTTTTCTAATTATTTTAGTGATTTATTTTTATAATTTAGCACAATCATTTAAAAATATATTAATAATTAATTTTTAATATTTGAAAAGTTATCTCGAGACATCTTGGTGTCATGTTTGGCTCCGTTGGTTAGCCTCCTACTGAGCGGCAGTCACGTTGTGCACAGTTACTCCGCATGTTGTCTTGATAAGATGCTTTCCATGAAGCCTGCCATGTCTGTTTTGTTGATCTTTTAATGATAACGTTTTGACACTCTATCACTGATATGATGATATAGTTGATGATAATGTTGTGAATGACAGAGCTCTTTAATGTTTATTTATTTATTGATTTATTTGTGTGTATAAATTTCACCTTCTTGAAACAGCATAACACGAGCAGAGCTAGCCCCTCATGGCGATCTACTCCTTCAGAATCTCTTCACTGCTATGAATGTTGTTGGGTCGCAAGAGAATGAATACATCATGAGAGGTAGTGTTTGTTTTTTTTATAATTTTTTATTTTATTTTTATTGCCGAGCATTTTTTCAAATACAAACGAAACACACAAACATTATTTAATAACTCATGGCTTGTATAAGATGTTTAACAAAATACAAATTAATTATTTTATTTTGTCATACTAAGTTTTAATGGAGTTTTTTAAGCAACTGTCGTTTAATGGGTATTCAACTAGGTTAAAATTGAGGTGGAAATAAATTATGCACTTGCATTATTTTCATTAGAAGTAGTTTTACCACATTTCTTCGTCATCTTCAGTTGTATAGCCAGCTGCCTTAATCTTCTATATCTCCATTAACATTTTTTTTCATTCTTGTCATCACTGTCGTTAATATCAAGATATTCATGTGTCAAGATATCATCATTGTCTTTAATATCAATGTATCACATGTATCATGAACAACATGTTTGAAGGTATAATGAAGAGCTTGCACATATTACAAGATGCATTCGTTCCTCACGTCAGCACGATCATGGGACAACTTCTGTCCAAACTTGATGCAGTCAGCAAAGTTAGTGTCTTAACTATCGTTACTCTGCTGTATAAATTTACATCTCGTTAATTTTCCATTTATAATAGTAAGTTAAATAACTACTGTATTTAATTATTTAAAGTCAACCTAACAAAGTAGTTTTTACCTTTCATAGTTACTTTTAAAAATGACTGGTTGAAATAGGCTTATAAATACCATTTAATTTATTTCTAGAATCCAAGCAAGCCCCACTTCAACCACTGTCTGTTTGAGAGTTTGTGCATAGTCATCAGCGTTGTTTGCAGGTTGAATCCTGGTCCCGAAGTCATCAACAGTTTTGAGTCTCCACTCTTCCCTCTCTTCCAGAATATTCTCCAGCAAGATGTGCAAGGTCGTCTGCCGTTTTTTATCGTGTTGTTTATGTTGTGTTGTTGATTTTATGGTGTTATTAGTCGTAATGATGATAGCAGGCGTTGGTTTTAGTGGCTTAAAAAAATTTGTTCAGGAATGTTGCTTTCAAAATGGTGATAACTAGTTATGAGTTAACTGATATGATGCATCAATTGAAGTTTAAATTAATAAATTGAATGATTACCATGCACTTGTACGTGGTGCAGAATTCGTGCCGTACATTTTCCAAGTGCTGTCGTTGATGTTGGAGATGCACAAGAACTCAATTCCTGTTCCCTACATGTCACTCTTCCCAATCCTTATGCAACCACTTCTCTGGGAACGTTCAGGAAACGTGCCTGCTCTTGTCAGGCTGCTTCAGGCATACATCGTCATCGGGTGCCATAACAATCAGATACCTGCAGATAAGTTGGTTAGTTGGTAGGCTGATTTTGGTATGAATGGATGCGGTTATTTTTTGGTATTGATGGTACACTTTACTATTCAGTTTAAGTTACATAGTTCACAGAGCAGTTAAACATTGATGATAAAACATAAACATCTATCGTTCAAATTTCTGATTTAATGATCCATGAATGACTGACTTTCTGTAGAGGACCTAAAATGGCAAATTTTTAATTCATTTGAGCAAATATACAATGTCGATTTATCCGTATTTATTAATTGTGAAAAGGTTTCATGAACTCATCAACCCACCACAGCCAGGTTTGTTGGGTATCTTTCAGAAACTGTTGGCTTCACGATCCAATGATCACTTTGGCATGCAGTTATTGAACACAATGCTCGTCCATGTACCACAGTTAGTATTCCATTTCAGTTCAGTTGCTCTGCCCTTTTATATATAAGTGAAATGTTAAATTTTGTGGATGTAATGAAATTTTCACTTTAAACTAACATTGTGATTGAAATAAATTGTACATCTTAACAGCAATGACATGGAGAAATATATTCATCAAGTGTTTTTGTTATTGTTTCAAAAACTGACGTCATCAAAAACGACCAAATATGTCAAATGTAAGTCTGGTATATATTTTTCATCACCACTTCAATACTTTCGTCCTGTTTGATAATTTGTATGTACCCTTGTTAACTGAATCATGAAATGTTTCTGTTGCAGGCGTGCTGGTGTTTTTCTCACTGTTCATCGTTAAGTTCTCGGCTGCTGTTTTCATCGAGATGGTGGACAAGATCCAAGCGAAGTTTGTATCAAATAAATTTCATTGCATTGCATAATTTTTATGAGAGGCTTTTAGCGATGCGTGCATGTTGAATTGAAAGTCATTTGTGCGGGTCTGTTGAATTGGAGGGCAAACGTTGTGATGCTCAATCAACACAGGATGTTCACGATGGTGCTGGAGAAGCTGTACATAGCAGAAACGGCGAAGATAACAAATGCACTGGACAGAAAGTTGTGCGCTGTTGCAATGACCAACATCCTCTGTGAACCTACCTTCCTTAAAGACGATTCTCATCCCTGGTTTGCACTTGTTTATGATGTCTTAATAGCAATGACGATATTAGCATAGTAACAACAATTATAAACTGTGTTGTTTCAATTATTGTAATTGCTGTTATAACATTTATTGTTGTTATCATGAATATAAAGGTTACCCCTCTTAAAATCTCTGTTGGAGACGTTAGAGTCAGCAGTTGCAGCAACTTCTTTCGCTGTTGAAGAGAGTCCATCCATCACTGAATCTGCTGAATTGGAAGGTTTGACTATACATGCATGTATTTGTATGTTTGTTTTTCTCTCTATATGTTTCTATTTGTCTGCTTTTGTGCATGTTTTTTTTGTCTGTGTATGTATTATTTTTAACTCTCGTAAAAAGGTTACTACAGAAACTAACTTTGTTAGCTTATCAACATTGAATTATTGACAAACTAAAATTGACATCATCTGTATCAAACAGAGGACAACAAATGTAATGTTAGTGAGATGAATGAGCTTGTTTTCTATTTATTAATTCCTCAAGACGTGGCTGAAACGAAGACAGTGCCACACGTAGCGGAGAACAAACTCCCAAACAGTTTTTGTATTTTGTTTTCATTGCAGTCAAACATGAAAATCCAACTTCGCATAAATAAGTAGAAGGGAAAGGAAGAAGGGTTTTTATTGCTTCGTCAGTGAGCTCTGGGTATTCCGACTTGATGCTGATCCAGAAAGCGGAAAGAGATGATGTATTTTCAAACTTCATTTTTAGGCCTTGGTCAGCAGCAAGCTCCAAAATTTTATCTTCCAACTTAACAGTCAAATTTTCCCTATGTTCAACAAAAGGATTTCCGATCCATGTCTTTCCTATTCGTGGGTCATCCTCCGTAGGAAAATAAAATTCAAACCGTTCAGATAAGCTGGACAGATGCTCAATGATTAATGTTTTCAAACTTTTGATGTCAAATCCTTTGCCTGCTTCATCAATGACTGTAGCTAAATTAAAAAACATTTCGAAACATTCTTTTTCCAATCTTTTTATCCAAGATTTTAGCTTTCTTTTTTGTCCTTCAATTTTATCAGCCATCGTGAAAACAGTCGCCATTTTCCCTTGGATTGAAATATTGAGATCATTTAATAATGCAAATATGTCTGACAAATAAGCCAATTTTGCGAGCCAATTGATATTCATAAGTAATTCTGACCAGATGGGCTTTTTAACCTGCAGAAACTCTGCTAGTTCATTTTTTAATTCAAATACTCTTGCGAGAACCTTTCCTCTGGATAGCCAACGCACTTCAGTGTGTAGCAATAGATGTTTATGATCAGCCCCCATTTCTTCACATAATCTGGCAAAAAGTCTTGAATTTAGTGCATTTGCTTTCACATAATTAACTATTTTGACTACTTCGCTGAGCACATTATTCAGTTCATCTGACATTTTCTTCACTGCTAAACTTTCTCGGTGAATGCAACAATGTGTTGCTTTACACTCCGGTGCTATTGCTTTAATTTTAGTTACAGCACCAGAATAACGTCCAGTCATTGCTGCAGCACCATCTGAACAGACACCAACACAATATTTGAAATCTATTCCTTTACCAATGATATATTCACTGACAGTTTTGAATACTTCAGAACTTGTTGTATTGGTCCGCGGACCGGCGCCGGTCCGCGGACCAATGGTGATGTAGAGCAGTGCTTTGAGAAGCACTGCTCTACATCACCATTACTTTTATTCATATTAAAATCACCATTCCCTATATCATTATAATATCATTACGTTGACGTCAGCGATGGTAAATGAGAGGATGATGATGATGTTACTGATGATGGTGATGATGTTACTGATGATGATGTTACTGATGATGATGATGATATCATAGGTTTCCAAGCGGCTTACTCGCAGTTGTTGTACAGTGGCAAGCAGGAAGTTGACTACTGCATTGACGTATCCGATCCAAAGATCTACCTAGCCAAGAAGTTGCATGTCCTTTGCCATAGCACTCAAAAGGTTGTCTCCTTGTTGTGTAGATAGATAAGCTAAGATAGTTAAGCCTTAGTAATATTTATGATTATATAATTATTTTGATTAACTATCCATTAATCAGTCGGTTGGTTAGTTACCCATCTCTTGATAGTTGTTCAGTTGGATGTTGTATTTCAGTTTTGCAGTTGATCAGAATTGAATCGTATCTATTTCTTTGTATCTATTTCTTTGTATCTATTTATCTATTTTTAAAAACATATAAATAAAAATATCTTTACTAGGTGAAAGCAACATTACAAGGCTTGCCGCCTCAGGCACAGAACTATTTGTCGGCTTACTTCACAGCTGCTGGAGTATCCATTGCTTAGCATCAGCTAGCAAGCATCATCACTGACTTTAATTATTCTATTTCATTAATATTATTTTATTATATCATTATTCATATACAGCTATAGTTATAATAATTATTTATATTGTCATTTTTAACTTTATTATTGTTAAATTTGTTTTTTTTTTCATTATTAATTTTAATTACCAAGGACTCTATGTAAATCTGGTTTGCCTATTTCATCGCTAATAAAGACATTCTATGTAAAAGTTTTTAAGATTTCTTATCGTATTCTTTGAAATCAGCATGTAATCATAACATATCAATGGTAATTTTATACCGTTAGTCATCAATCAAGAGCTCCTTGTTGAAGGATGGAATGCAAAAGTTCAGTATTCTTGCATGTTTTGTACGTGAGGCAACTTATTCAGTCACACACAAACACACACGCAAATACATTTTATATGCCACACTACATCTCTGTACAGAAAATGAATTAGCATTGAATTTTTAAAAATCTATTCTCAATTTGAATTACTTGCGTTTTCTTAGAATTAATTTGAGAAGTGTAACCAATTTTTAATTTAAGACTTCTTCCTGCTAGTGAAATACATAACCTTTTTTACCTATTCACGCCATGATGACTTGAATGTGGTTTGAAGGTCCGTCAGATAGTTTAAAGAGGTAATGATAAATGCAATAGTTGCTTTTGCCTGCTAGATGACGTTCACTATTTATTGGTTCATGTTCATGGCGGTATTTCATACGTTACATTTTTTTTTATAATTTAAAATATTAAATTAGTTTTCAATGAAAATAAATTGACCGATTTTATTTATTCAGTTAATTCATATTCAATGGACGAATACAACCTTCTAGGTACATATCAGAAGTATCCAATGTATGGGTGTAAGTATATATATATATATATATATATATATATATAATACACATGTATGTACCGTTAAATACAGTGACCAGCACTTTAAATTCAAGTATTAATTACAACAAAAATTTATTAAAAAGCTGGTTAATCATGGCGAATTATTTTTATGCTCGTTCAAACAACAAAAGAAAACTTGATTATATATTTTATTATATATTACATTTTCTTAAAAATTTTTACGATGTATCATATCGTGTTAGTGCCGTATAAAATAGAACAGTTTTATTTTCCTAGCTTCAGAGTTTTTCGCACCAATGAACACCTATTTATAAAAAAACAATCATAAAATATATATCGTTTGTCGGCCATATCCCAGCATCTTAGCGGCGTGCACAAAGTTGAAGATCGTATTAACTAATTAAATGACGGTCAAGTATTCACATTAAACAAACAAAGAATTAACATTGTAGAGACATAGTATATATACTTGAGCATTTGGCCAAATACACAATATATATATATATATATATATATATATATATATATATATATATAAATGTATGCATATATATATAACACAGTTTGGTATATAGGTATATTTGCTTAATTGGACATGGACGTTTTGTTTCTTCAAGATGATACTTCACTCGATGCTACTGATGATAAATGTTTCCACCTACTATCAATACATATTTATATGACTGAGCTGAACATTGTTGAAGTCCAATAACACAAAGTAAAATGGTACGAAATAATAATTTTTAGTAGAATATTAAATGATTAAATACATTTTCGGTAGCCAAATAAAATTAACTGAGGTTAATGTCTTGATAGGTTGACTAAACTAATGTAATAATATGATAATGATTGATTCACAATAAGATGACTTGATTAACGCTTTCAAATTTAATGTTATTAAAACTTATTGTTAATCAAATATATTTTAGTTTATCAAAAAATTGATCTCAGTTAGCAAGCGACGAACTCTACCAAAACATGAAGTCATTTGTTAAATAGGAACGTAAACTGGTAACGGCTTGTTACTTTAGAAACCGACATGCTGAGTGGAACCAATGTTTTACAAACTAAATGAAAATAGTAATACTAATTTAACATGTTTTTTAAATATATTAATATAGCATAAATAATGTGAAACAAATATAATAAATTTACAAAGATATCGATACGAGGGTATAATAACATAAATTTCATTTTTTCCTATAAAATTCCAAATAATTTTTATGCCACATAAAATTTGCTTTCTGCCGTTTTTCAATGATTTTTTTATATTTATATTCGAGATTCACTGGTAAACATTACTAGAAAAATTAAAAAATATTATTTGCATTGACGCTGCTGGTTCTTATCAACGTTAAAAAAATATCATAAATGAAAATAACGAAAACCAGAAATTTATATTTTATAGCATTTATTATTTAAAAAATATTAATAATGAACAAAACTGAAAGAAACAGTGGTTTGAATGTGATCCTGCCTGTAATGTAATTCACCATGCAGTCTGTCTGTGTATGGTGCGAAGTTATGGTGTGATTATTTGTTTCAATTCAACCAGTCAACCGCGGCAGAAGACCTCTAATTTGTTAGCATGCAGGTCTATAATCATGAACGATTATTATAAGTCTACCAACCAAGCAAGCAAGCAATCCAATCCGTACGTGTAATTTGCTCACATACACACAGATATACTCAGTGATGTATGATTACACATACCCGGTACAAACACACGCACACATTTATTTATAAAAAAAAATTCACGTACACTGACCAGACAAATACCGCGTTATACGTACACGTAATGGTATGTACATCAGACACTTATTTAGAAAAATACAAACTTGTATGCATAAGCACATTTAAAGCTATGATTATATATGCAGCCGTTCAAACACATATCCACGCTAACATATTCATCAGATTCACATAATCACACATATGTACAGAAGACACACACAAACACATACACACAAACACAAGCACACAGATGCAGGAACGTACTCATACAGATATATACAATAGGACAGTCACCAGCATTTCATTTATACTTAGTTCATCTGTCAGGTTGGAAGGCATAAGGTACGTTTGGTTATTTTTACGCTTTTTTAATTAACACTTTTTAACGATCTAGGTACCTACGTTCACAACATCAATAGTGCAGAGACTGCGCATATGTGTGTATAATTGTATATGCACGCCTAGCAGCAGCTGTATTTCTAATTAATATAGGTACGCGCTAAATGTGTGTGCTCTTTGGAGATGAAAACGTCGGAAATTTTCAGATGAGTTCAGGCAGGTCACGCAGAGTGGATGGGTCATGCCGGGTAGATGAGGTCAAGTGGATGAGGTCATGTAGACGAGGTCAGAGGTCAAGTCGTCTCTTTCCATTTGACCTTCCGCTCTGACGATTTCTTTCTCAGTGGATTGGAAGCCACAACGCCTGATTTGTGATTTGGGGTTCAATTATTAGCTGCTTTTTGTTTAGAGATTCATTATTGATAAATGTTTCAACTTATCATAGAACACAACTCCAATATAAACGTTAAAAAGCGTATTTTTATTGTTTTGGTTGATTGGCGTACAGACAGACACTGTTGGTGCATACACAGTACACACACATCGACGTAGCATGCAATCGCAATGCGTGCACCTGCACAGACATGATGAAGACAATCTCCCATCAAAAAATTTTTTGGACATTGCGCATTAAATTTTTTTATAGTGTACTTCGCTGTTAATCCGTTGAATCACTTGTTAATATAATATTATCTAAATATTTAAAAAATTTTATTTTCAAGTCAGGCTGTTGTTATGAAAAATGAGTTGGACAGTTATATTCCAAACTGCTAATAATAACATCCAGTCTATAATGTGACATGATATTTAATTGAATAGCGCGTTCTCAAAGTAATGAATGAATAGAGTGACAGGATGAACATTGACGTTTAATGTTTAATAACGTGACGAACATAAGTGAACGTTCACATCAATAACAATTATGATATGAACATTGGTTGTGAACCTGAAGCATTTTGTAGGACGGTCCCTGCTGCTTGGTTTGTGTAGTTGGATATGTTACCATTCGATTTTATTTCAGGTTTCACGCAGTTCACTTTTAGTCGTTTGTCGTCTAGCGCGGTGTTCTGATGAATAATTTGTAAAGTACTTTGTTGGTTTTAATTTTACAAATCAGTAAAGATTGATATAATGTTGAAAGATTTGACGATGCAGGGATGTATCGTTTAAGTCTTGCACGAGGTTGGAAAATTTAAAAAAATCCTAACATGGATCTTGTCCTTTTGATCAATCTTCTTGACAAATTTTTCTTTGAAATTTTGTATATTTTCTGAAAACAAAATAAAATAAATTTACTTATTACATTTTTTGGAAACATGATATTTAAATTTAATTAGTTTTGACTTAAAAGAAGAGTCTTGACCCAAAATGCTAGTTATCAAATGAAACCTGCTCTGTAGATTTCGAAGAATTTTTTTGGCTTATCTCCATTCGTCTTTGAAATAAAATTTATTTTTGAATTTTTTTTCGAATTATGATTTTCAGTTTGAGTTATATTTTGAGGCACTTGAATGCAACAGACATCGTATGCGGGCGGCTTGTTTGTAGGTACATTGTTGTTGTTGTTGTTGCTGCTGGCTTCGTTGTGTTCACGTGCAGGCAGACGTGTATTTCTCGGTTTGATTGATAGCGATGATTTTTTACTTAAGTCTAACGGATTGTGTGCTAGAAGGTTGTCAGATTGCTGGCAATCGGTTTTGTCACGTGACTGATTTTTGTTCGACTCGTTATCACCTTCATATGAATGAGTTGTCCTGGGAGCCACACGTTTGTTTGATAGCTTATTGAGAGGTTTGTCGTTGGTCGTTTTTTGAACTAAGACGCCCAAGCTCAAGTTGGTCTGTTGGCAGTTGGTGTTAACTCGCGGGAGGAGATGAGGCAACGACGGTGGTGTAATAGATGCACTGGTTTCATAATCTTCCTGGTCATAATTAGGAAAATTCAAATTGTTTTCGCTATCGCTAGAAAAGCTACCACAGCTGCTACTTGAACCTTCGATGTACGAACATTCTGGCGACGCTGTTGGAGCTACAACTCTTGGAAAGTAGATGTTCTTTAATTCAGATGCTGGTTTTGAAAGTAGTCTTAATTTTTTGCTCTTCATTGAAAAAAACAAATTTGATGGCCTGCGTGCTGTTGTGTGGGGCTTCTTCGTTTTATCTTGAAGCTCTGGGTTCGAAATGGTCTTCCGTCCCACCACGCCGCACGAGAATAACGTTTTTGTTTTGGGCTTTGAAATTAAAATGGGAGATTGTTTTGCTGGAACTTTTATTGGAACTTCAACTGAAGGCGATATTAACGGTGGCTGAAATGTTTAAAATTAATTAAATTCATAATAATTTGTTTAAGTTACATTTAACAACATTATAAAACCACTTAATTTAATAATTTATTTATTTCTCAGTGAAGGAAAATCTATGTGGACTAACAACTCCACTGCTAGCAGCCACTCCGAACGTGTGATCGGGATGTTGCCATTGGTAGTCGGCTTGAGCAATTTGGATGGGATAGTTGATGGAGGAACTTAAATTGGCCACCGACAGATCCAACGTCATGTTGAGTTTGGCGGCTTGAGGAGGCGACGATGTACAAAATTTATAGGGAAGCTCGATCGAGGAATAAGGCTGAGATACAAAAATCAAGTTGTTGCAGGATTCGTCTGGAGATTTGTTGCCAACTTTGCTTTCATGCTTCGATTCTAGCACGTGGCAGGTTGAGCAAATCTCATTGATACTTTTAATTTTCTTCGGTTTCAAACGTTTGGACGCAGGAGTTGATTTAGCTGATCGTGATGTTCTGTTGGAGTGGTGCCCTATGCTATCTGAAATGGGATTTCATAGCTGCGTTAGTTTATTTAAAAGTCAGTGATAATTATATTTAAAAACTAATTTTAAAACTGTTACCACTTCTGTTTGTTTGTTTTTTAAGTCTGGTCTGCCTATTCAGCGTGGAAACAGTTCTGCAGCTCTCTGGCGTCGAAACTTTGTTGGTCTCCTTCGATCGCGGTTGGATGGAGCGTTTTGTGTAATCAATATTGTAGATTCCTAAACATTTTTAACAGTATTTTTATTGCGTTTGCTCAAATGCTTTTTCTTTGATTCAATATTGATAAACTTATAACAAATCAAGCCTTACTAATTTCGTGTACATTTCAAATAATTAAACTAAAAAGAAAGTGAACAAATGATCTATCACCCATTTCTTGTTTCTTCTTGTCCATCATCATGTTGAACATAGCTGATACTTCATCAGATTTGTTCTCGTTCACCATTTCACCGAGCAAACCTTTCTTGATTTCTGATAAGTACGAGAGCTCACCGATCACCTGGTTGTTTTCAGAAATTTAAATAAAATGTATCCAAAACAGTTTTATGACATTGAGCGTAGTTTGAAATAATAAAATCCATTTTCGATGTCGATGCATTGCCGTCTTCATTAATTTTATTAAATCCATCTGCTCCCATAATTATCCTTGCGTTCATCTTTCATTTTGCGGTTCCCAATGCAACGATCACTATCATCATCACCATCATCATTGTCATCATCAATATCATCATCACCATTGTCATCATTATCTCAACGTCATCACCAAACCTGGCTCCTCATAAGTTTAGTTTTCGGATAATTAGTGAAATGGACAAATGCATGCTTTCCGTTCTTGGTGATCCATGGGTGAGTTTCAACTTCAGCCAGTGGAATTCGAAGTTGTGATTGAGGTTCAATTAGTTGATGGAGTAAATTTCGGCAGTCTGGATGTCAATATTCAAAGTAAAGTTGATGTGAGATTTCAAATGATAGTTTGACTCTTGAGTGAACATTTTATCAAGCGAGGTGAAACAGTGTAGATGAGCTCTCGCATTTGCTTAAGAGCAGGAAACAAGATTGAAAGACTTTAACATTGAAAGCACCATTAATAGTCACAATTAATTTTCAAATTTTGTGATTTTAATTCGTGGTTGAATCCGTTATTTAAATTTTTCATTCAAACATAATAAATGAACATTAAATACCTAATAGAAAATCATTAAAATCATTGATAGGATGAACTAACTTGGCGTCAGTGCTTGCATTTCTTTTTCGTGGACGGAGGTGAGCCCCTTTTGAATCATCTGCATCATATTGTGTCGGTGGTACTCCTCGCTGCTTGAGAAGCAGAAGGGCAGCCTGCCCAACATCATGGCATACATTATCACACCCCTGCAATTTTCATTCAGCTTAAGCACCTCTATCAAGTACAAGCATAGTTCAAAACTTGTTTCTTTTAAAATTCTTTTTTAAAGTACTAGTTAACGTAATGAAATCAAATTAATTAAAAACCGATTGATTTTTGTTTACAAAAAACTGATCAAATATAAAATATTTGATTTTGTTGATGGTCTGGTTTAAATTAAATAAGAGAAACAAAATTTCATCACAAATTAATTAAAAAGTTCTACATACAGACTCCAAACATCAATTTCAGGCCCGTAAGTTTTTCCAGGGACAAAAAGTTCGGGTGCTGCATATTCGGGAGAGCCACAGTGGGTCTTGAGGGGGTCGTGTTTGCGGTAGATGTTGCTTAAACCAAAATCTGAAAATTTAAATTTAATTTTTAACTCAATTGTTAACGAATGCTTTATATAATGTATAATTGGAATAGAAAACCAGATCAATGAAATTTAAAAAAAAACATTACTCCACTGACCTATGAGCTTTATGTTGTGTTTGGGCTCATCTAACAATATGTTCTCCATCTTTAAGTCTCTGTAAAATAAATACATAGTGGCAAACAAACCAGGTCTCCATTTAAATTATATCACATATCTGTTTTTTTTAGAATTTAAAATTACCATTTTACTTTCATTTTTAATAAAATATTTTACGCATATGATGTGAGAGAATAATTTAATAAATAATAAATGTACAATTTTTGAAAGGTTACTAAGGAAAAGTCAATAAATAAAAATTACAGTTTCAGATAAAAGTTTGACAACTTGTTATCAGACATACAGATTAGTCCTAAATTTCGTACTTTAGTATATAAAAGAATATTACAATTTATTATAAGGCCGATGAAGCCGTTTGTGATTTGTTAGGTTTTGTACAAAGTTTTTAGTACAAATGATACACAAATATATAAAAATGTATTCAACGTATCAGTGCATCAATTATACAAGATACAATGCGAAGAGCCAAGAGTTAGACCACTCCAAGCGCAAATGCAAACGTGACGTTGAAAGGCAGAAGGAGATTTCATTTTTATTTCATTTTTGAAAGGTTTCTCAGTAATCCTATTGTGCACAAAAAATAAACATATACCTGAAACTTTCTCTTTGCTAGTCTGTCTTCGGAAGAATGCACAAAAGAAGAAAAAGAAGAAGATAACAAAACACGTAACTGAACAAGACAAGCAGATTTAAAGTGCTTCTAGTCGACTTTCCTATATATATTTTTTAACATTTTTGTTTTTTTTTTTATAAATTCAATTTCAAAAACAACCGCAAACTTTAGGTTCCATTTTATTTAGCATAATTATTATTGTTTACATTAAAAAAGGGATTGTTCACGTTAACAAATAAAGAAAATTGAAACCCCTGAAGAAAGCTAGAAAGGAGAAACAAACTAAAGAGAAAACTTTATTGAGCATTGAATTAAGCAGCTGAAGCAGCTAGGGACAGCAAGCAACGTAGCAGACAACAACTTGGAAGCAGCTACACGAACGTAGTTGCGTGAGATTTATGATGGTAATTAATCTTGCTTAACTTTAATTACTTTGAACACTAGCTGGGCAACAACCAGGCTCAAAGTATCTGGCAATACACGTGTCTGTGCTATGCGTAATTAATGACTTGTGTAATGTTAATGGGGTGGGTATCTGATGTTAATAGGATATTTGGCGTTAGAGTAGCATCTGGTAGTGAAGTGGTACCGCCTGATGATAGCAGGCTAGATGAATTTTCCATGGCTTTAATGTTGAGAGGGCAGCATGTGGACACACCACAGAATACTTACACACGTGCATGCAAACATACAAAAAAAGGCACACTCATGCGACTTAACGAAGCTTCATGTTACGACAGCGACCAAGCCCTAATATAACTGTTGGTTGCACTTACTCTACGTTCCATACTCCCTCATTTACAACATGGACTTATTTACGTATATCAATGTGTATATATTTTTTTTATAAATGTTTGTGAATATGTTAATGTAAACAGTATAAGGGTATGATTGTAAATAAACACTATTACCGTCAATATAACCACAACCAGCATGCATAATTGGCATCAAGTTGAAATGAGTTTTAAGTTTAATTGAATGTATATAATAAGAATGTTTTAAAAATTTAATAAATTTAATGGATATATTTTAGTAATTGCAGACCAAGGTTGTGATGACCCGGTTTGAATGCAGAAAGATCCAAGACCATATTATCATATTTAGAATTGTCAGTTGCATAACGCACTGAATCTTTATTAACGTGAAAGATGTGAGCGCTGCTAAAAAAGCAAATAACAAAATAAGAAAACTTCGATGAACTGCTTTCCTCGCCCCTCACTGACACGTAGTCACGTGTTTGTTGTAAGAAGCTCATCGCACCGTTTTCGTGTGGAAGCATGCCGTGTGGAAGCAAGAACGCTCGTAAAGCCCGCAATGGTATAATCGTGATTTCGTTGTAACATGGAACAGCAATGAAAAACTTAAAACTGCATTTGGTTTCATTCAAAAAAAAATTTGCAGTATACAACAAGGTTTAAGAGTATGTTTACAAACATAAACATAAACATGCTACATTCTTCTCGTTTAATAAATTGAAATAATGAGCCATCAAAATATTGCAAACTCACATAAATATCTGCCAGTGTGTGAGTGTATGTGTAATTTAAGAAAAATGTACGAGGTAAGTGTAAACACGTGTGTATTACAACTTGTATTTATTTGTATGTACTGTACACCGAGAATAATACGCAGGCAGACGTGGTGTGTACGATTCATTGCTCGTTATAATGCGCTCGTAATGCAAGTCGGAGATGTTTGCCTGATGTTTCTGTTTCCTTGCTCGCTTGTTTGCTTTGTTTGCCTGCGAGATTTATTGCCAATTATTTGATTCTTGTTGATAGCATATTTTTTTAATGCTCAGAAAATTAAGATATTGCAATATTTATTCTTAATGTTATATCCAACAAACTTGACCAAGAGAAACATCCATTTGACGGCAAATATCGTATAACATCTTGAATGAATGTGCTGAGAAAGGTAGATGATCGGCTGTATATTACATGTGCAAATGTAAATACTCAATATTTTGTGCATTTAAATTGTTAGTACTTAAGTCGCAGAAATTAATGTGTGGCAGCTATCAAAAGCAAGTTCATGGAATTACGCTCAAGATAACGTTTGGCAAGATAAATTTTTAAACCAAAATGTTTGAAAAAAATGTTGTTTTGTTTTGTTGTGTGTGTTTTTATTTTTTTATGTAGCATTTATGGCATTTATATTTTCTCATATTCGTAAACTGTTGTCTACAAGAAGAGCGAATCAATGATATCTCTCCTTTATGATGTTCTCGTTCTATAATAATGTTCACCCTGGTTTGCTCGTTTGTGTTTTGTTTGTTTGTTTGCTTGCTGTGAAACAACAGCAAACATAGGAAATGTGGAAAACTAATGAAAAAGTAGATAAATTAATTAAAACAAAAAAATAGAATAAACAAAAAGCTAAAGAACAAAAAAAAACGAACAAAACTGATCAGTGGAGTTTTTTTTGCTTCAGAGAGTTTGTGAGTTTTTGCAAAAACCGAATTGTCGTATTTGTTACAATTTTGGTTGGATTAAAATGTTGTTGAAGTTGTTGTTTTTTTTATAGAAGCACTTGGTAATGTTGTTGCTATTATTAATTTTGTTATTGTCATTGTTGTAGTTGATGTTGTAGATGTTTTTGTTGTTGCTGTTGTTACGGCTGTTAATGTTTTGTGGGTGGTTTTACAAAGCTGTTGATGTAATGTTATTTTTATATTATGTTGCCATAGTTAGAGGTGTTATTTTTTAAGTTGATATTTAAATATGAGGTTGTATGCATACAAATGAATACTGATACATTATCTGTGTTGTTGTCAAGTCGTGATTGCAGATGTTTCGAGGTTGTTTGATGTTTTTTGGTGGTTTTGCTTTTATTGGGGATCCTGTAAAAATGTCATTGAGGTTTTTTATGGTCTCATTATTTTATGTCCGTCGTTGTTATTGCTGTTAATTTTTAGTAATAATTTGCTTTCGTATTTGTTTTTGAGATTTTTGTTGGTGTTGTTAATGTTTTAAAAGCCTGAAATTAATTAATGTAGTTTTGTGGTTGTTGATGTTTTATTTTACTTGATGTTATTTTGCTTGTTTTGATGTAATTTGTGGGATCGGAGTTGATAGTGATGTTTACATTTAGGAGTTGGTTGTGTTTTTGCTATTTTTGTTGTTATGGTTGTACATGTGGTTGTTATTTTCCTTTTTTGGTTGTTTGTTTTGTTATTTTTTGTTGCGGTTGGGTTTTTGTTGTTGTTTTCTCCCGATGTAGATATTTTTATCCTTTTTAATTTCTTACCGTTATTGATTGTGTTGTTTTGTTAGGTTGTTGATATTTTTTAAATCATTTTGTTTGAACTCCTGGTACTAATGACATCGTTTGTTTTTCATTAATTAAATTTAAGGTTTGAGAATAATTTTTATAATTTGGTTCTTCTTTTTTGACGCTAACATTTTTAAACATTTTTTGTTTGTTTGTTTGTTTAATTAGATCAGTGAGAATTCAGTGTAAAAATTTTGTGTTTTTGGGGGTAAAAATCACAAAAGGCCGATGATTTTGAATTCATTGTTTCATTCAATTTAAAGCTTGAAAACATGATTTTTAGAATAAATTCAATAAAATTTCAAATTTCTTTTTTGTATGACATAATTATAATAAAAATTATTTTGGAATAAATTTGTTCATTTGTAATCTTGAACAAATTTTTTATGGGCCAATTGTAAATTTGATAGTACCCTACATTAAGTTTCAACTGATGAATAACTTTAATGATTTCATCAGCATTCGTTACTTATAGTATTTTTTTATCAGCTGGATGTTTTGAAACAATCGTAAATCCCCAATATGGTCAAATTTAAAGTACACTTTTCCAATGACCAGACATACAATCAATTTGTCGATGCGGTAGTTTATTGGTGTAAATTTATATAATTTTGGAATAATTTTTTATACAATTTTCATTCTATTAATTTATTTTTTATATTTAATTGTTTATGTAAGTATTTGAAATTGTTTTGTATAGAAGTTTTGTTAGAAATGTTTCAGGCCTAGCCAAATTAAACCTACAATTGCTTGCCATCGATGAACAAATGCTGATCAAAATTTCAGAGTTCTTCCGCAATTTGTTGATAATTTTTAACCTTTAACTTTTTATTCAGGTTTATATATTGCAACACAGTTATAAATTATATATAGAAAAAACAAAGTAATATTAAGAACTGATAGGACCAACCTGTGAATGACTGATTTCTCGTGGAGGTATGCTACGGCGGACAGCAGCTGTCTGGTGAAGAATCGGGCTGTTGTTTCATTGAGGCGACGATTCTCCTGCGATTTGACAAAGTCCAACATGTCTCCTCCAGTGGCATACTCGGTCACCAGGCAGTACAATGTGGACGCCTGAGTGAGGTTCATCGATGAAACATTAAGTAATTATTGGAGGTCAAATTGATTTCATGCCTGTCTTTCCTTTTAGTTACAACTTTCAATATTGTATATCCTTTTTTTTGGATAAAATAGCATTATGCTAACATGTGTCTATAAAAATAAATTTCTCTTTCTTATATTATTAATTGGTCTTGCAATGTAATAAAGTTAAAAAATTACGTTGAGTTATGTTACACAAGAATAGCTTGAAAAAAATACACAAAAAAATTTCCATGAAAAACCCCTAATAAATTTTCAAAAAAAACCGTGTCGGAACAACATTAAAAATTTCTTTAAACGATCCCGGTTGGGCTAGTTCAATTCGAATAATAATTCTTATGGCTGTGCCGACTATGGCAGCTCAAGCCCCAAACATAAAGTATAAAGTTCCAATGTCTTTGTGATATATATTTCTAATAAAGTTAAAAAAATAGGTACACAAGAATCAAAATTATTCATGGCGAAAAGCGTGGTCAAACATTATATGCATATTTAGTTCCATCAATTAGATTATAATTATAAAATTTGTTTAAATGATCCAATATCAAAAAAGGTTTCAACAATTTTCATATTTCAAATTTTTATTCACAATGTCTGTCATCCTGAAATAACGTGAAAACTTCGCTGTCGGAGTTGAAACAAAAATTGCACGAGCACATCGTTAGCCGCGATTTTAAGTCGGCAGTAACTTTCCGGATGAAACATTTTGTGATTTTGAAGATGCGGGAGACGAAGAAGGCTGCTAGGAATAGTGCGAGCCGCAGTAGGTGCTGGATAGGCTCTCCCTGGCTCCGTCGTACTTTTGGATTCACAAAAGCAGATATGCAGTAGGAACATTTGTAAGATGAATTGACGACAGATACATTAAAATTTGAAACATACTGAACTTCTTCCATATTTATGTTCAATTAAAAATAAAACATCATTTTGGACTTTTGATTTCAATAGAAATAGCTAGGCAATAACTTTTTATTATTTTTTTATTTTTAATCACCCACGTCTATACATTCTTTAAATTTTAATTAATTTTAAATTTTAGGCGAAATTTTAAGGTTTCTTATTTTGAAGTTGTTGTTATGAAGCCGAACACGGATAAGTGTATTTATTTTTTTTTTCTTGGCTTCTTCCACATCAAATCAAATAAAAATAATTTACAACGCTGTAAAGCGATTAAATTATTTCAGAGCGTACAAAAATTTTCCTTTCAAAAATTTTCCAAACAGTTAAGTTAAACTTAATAATTACGGGATAAAAAAAAATATTCCATCACAAAATGGACAAACGAACATTACGTAAAATACTTTCCCATTGTAATTGTAGAAAAAAAACACCAGATTAATTTCCTCTCAGTTAATTTCCATACCACAAAACATGCAATAGTGCAAAATAAAAGGTCAGATTGCATCGTTTAACGATGGTATGTCACATGGGATTGTAATAATAATGTTTGTAGGCGTGTATAACTATTCTTCAGATGTCTCAATGGAAGACGTTAAAAAATCGCACATGGCACATTTTAACGTTCTCGATTGGGCAAAGTTGATGTTGGGTAGAGTAGAGTACATTCATCAAGTAAACAGGTGCAATTAGAAGGGAGGTAGCTTTTTATTTGGGTATGACGCTATGATCATTCTATCGTCTATCTGGTGACGTTAACTGTTTGTAACATTATTGAAATTTGTTAAACGCTTGTGCATCATAAAATATGATTCACAATTTTATAAAATAAGTTGCGTTGTTGAAAAATAAAATTTCTGGCTGAATGATGTTTTCATTTTAAAAAATGAATCTTACAGGACACAAATGAGTGATTCTATGGCTTTGCTTATAACTATGGTTACATCAATGAATTCAGCAGCTTCTTGTTTATCGTATTTTAACGTTTTAATTTATTGATAATCATCATATATCATTAGAAGCCTCACCACAAACATCTCCAATACCAAGCACGCATCAGACTGCTGTCATGGTAGACTCTTGCACGTGATGGCACAGCGGAGGTTCCCCGAAGCATACAGTCATAATGTTGGAAAAGGACTGCAAAACTGTTATCAAACCACAGCCATTCCTCTTATATGCAGGATACTAGTTTTCAATATTTGGGATGTCTGGAATTTCATAACGTCATGTAGACCTTATGCAGGCCATAGAGCGGGTACGTGTGTGCAAGTATTGTGCCTGCTGGTATAATCAATTTTAATAAAGGAATAGGAACGTTAAACTGTTGAAATAAATAACAAGACATGTTTTGTTGCAGTTGAATCCCGCTGGATTCGGTACGAAACAAGAAAAGCGCGCGAACACTGCTGCAGTTTTAAGAAAATCTTGCGCACATAAACAGAGCACTAATTTTATCCATTCCTGTGTGAGAGAAATCTGCGTGAATGCAACGTTCGCTTCTATCTTGATGTGTTTGTATGTATAATTGTGAACTTTATGCCAAGATACTTTTAAAAAACTAACTCTAACCCCGTAAACATCACACCACTAGATTTTTAAAAACTAAATCAGTTTTCTGAATCAGAATGTAACAATTGTCTAAATAACTTTTACAAGGTTTATAAACGCAGATTCATAACTGCCACAAGTCATGCACCGTATCGTGTTAAATCTTGAAACATCTACAGTACATGTAAATTGTAGTATATGAACACTGAACAGGCATAAAAACATCAGTAATTTATTTAAAATGCTTGAATGCTATCTGTCATCTTTCCTTCAATGAAGTTTTCAGTTTTGAAATGACACTACAAAACAATGAAAAAAAATATGAAAACTTACGCTAAAAATTAACATCAAACACAAGCAACACCATTTTTTTTCGGAGCAAAGCAACTGTATTTATAAACTTTAAGTACATCGCCTTGTGTTGAGTTTATATATATATATATATATATATATATATATATATATATATATATATATATATATATATATAATAAATACACATGTATTGTATGTTACATGAATGTATATACACATACGTGTGCGTGTTTATGTGTAAGTGTACAAAACAGAGAGAGAGAGAGAGAGAGAGAGAGAAGAGAGGAGAGAGAGAGCAGGAAAATAAAGCAATAAGCAAACATTGGCGTGTTGCCGGGACGTACGTGCGTCATTATAGGATACCCACGTGTACCTTGTGTTATGTGTGTGTGTAATTGATATTCAATAGGGGCCCAAGTATTTGCGAGACATGTTGAGAGGTCATATTTTCTCCTTTTTTCTGTTCTGTTCACGTTTCAGCTGCAGACGTTTGCCGTTCGCTATTATTCGCGGTTTTTTTTTATTAATTTTGTTTGGTCTATTACAGTTGCTAATCTTACTTCTTTGTTATTTTTCAACTCTGGTTTAACATTAGTTTCGCTCTTAATCATAATATTTTGTATTTTTTTAATTATCGCTACTTCATCTTTTCATTGATATTATTTTATCTTATTTGATAGTTCGCCGCCAAACCTCGTAAAATTTATTCACTTGATTTTTTTTCGTTCTCCTCGTTAGCTCGTGTGCTACTCAACTGCAGTGTTCAGTTCAGAAATGCGATCATGAAAAATTTTTACTTCATGTTCTTTGTGAAATAATACTAAATAAAATGGTCGAAATGTAGGATCACCGGAATAAATTGCTGATGGATACGATGCAATCACTGTAATTATAACTCCATGCATCACTCGCATGCAGTTCTCCAGATAGCAATTAATAGAATCGATGCTATTTCCTTCTCGTTATTTTTTCTGATTTTTTCTCTCTAGATGCCAGAAAAACGTGTTGTAGACTTAATGACATTAATTTGCAACGTGACTTGAGCGAGGAGGGCTTGTATTTTTGGCTGTTCATTATTTTCTCTTGCCCACATCAGGCTGATATTTACCTAGAAGAGGATGAGGATGAAGATGGCAGGCTGTCATATTTGCTTTGCTATATTTAGTAGCGATGTTAATGAGTTTTGTTAACTTTGTTAAGGGTAGGTAGGATCAATATTTATCATTCAGGCGAGTTATGCCGTCAGGTTATTTAAAAATCGGTAACACAATATTTAATTATTTGCCGGTTTTTATTATAACAGTTGGTACAAGAAAAAATTTTTTGAAGAAAAATAATTAAATTATGATGACACTGTCAACCAATTGTTTGTTTTAAATCGCCTGCTGTGAAATTTTTTCTTGAATTTTAAAACTTTCGTCAGATTTGGATGGATTATACAATTAATTATATTTAACGAATAACAACCCATTCCATGTAAAAGTCGAAAATGATGAATGATATTGGTAGTTACTGATATGTTGAAGATAGTTAAATAAGGCATCCACACAATGCGTTCATATTTACGTGCTCATATCCTGTGAATATCAAACTCTGCAATAATAACTTATCACCTACTTGTAACTACTGCTGCAAATTTTTATTCAAATCTCAAACAAGGCTGTATTTTATAAGAAAATTAATTAAAAAAAAACCACCAAGCAAAGAAGAAATTTTTCAAGATTTTGAATTCAACAAACGTTTCATAATTTTATTGTTATTGTGTTTGCTGTTGACGTTTTTTGATAAAATTTACAATTCATTTGTTGATAATTAAATGCCTATATGTTGAAAAAATTAAATGTTGAATCCAAACACAACGGACGATTAAATGAATGAATGAATGAATATATAAATAAATGAATGAATGAATGAATGAATGAATAAATGAATGGATGAATGACGAAGCAATCAAGTGCTGGATGATTGCCTGGTTGGCACGTGTTAATGTCTTTAAAGTGCCCGATGCATTCCAACCTCCGATCCCTTCACTTACTTGACAGGTTACAAAAAAGTTGTTGTTGCTGTTTTCCAACACTTCTTCAACTCTTCCTTTCAAATCAAATAATTAATTTTTAATGAAAAAGTGATTAAAAAGTTATTTCAACATTAGAGCAGCAAAACAACAGATGTAACAAAATCTATTTGACATATTCATGATATTCAACTAT